TTTTTTAATTTAAATTTATAAAATATTATTATATGTTTTTAATATTATTAACACTTATTTATATTCAATAGATTTATGTATTTCAATTAATTTGAATAAATATGATATAATAAACTAGCAATCACTATAATTTTTTATTTATTTTACATAATACACTTAACTTATCATTCTAAAATATTTCGAACTATTATAAATTAAATTAAATTACCCAGAGTTTGGGCACTATAGCTTAATTGTTAAGATGCCAAACCCCATGGAAATTAGATCAAGGTTTACAGTTCAAGTTGGGCTGGAGGTGAAAAAAACTCTATAATCTACAGGTAAAGAGCCAAAATTAAATACGGAGCCCTGTGGAAGTCCAAGTATAGTACGGATTTGATAGGAAATTTCCAGAAGGAGATCTAACTATAAAGAGTTGGCATTACGTTTGACAAGTGGCGTCATAGAAGGTCTGGACAATAGGTTGCATATATTAATCTGTGGAGATCAAAACTATAGAGAGTTGGTGTTATGTTTGGCAAGTGGCATTATAGAAGGTTTAGAACAAATAGGTTGCGTGTATAAATCCTTGAGGCACTTAGTTAATACCAACAACCCAGACAGTCTGGAATCTTGTTTGGGAGGGTAATACTAATGTTCTAAACTGAAAATAATAAGTGAAGCAGTAGATATAGTGACAGATCTGCATGGTAGTACCAACAACCCAGGGGTCTGGGATCTTGTTTGGGAGAGTAATACTAATTTTCAAACTGGGAATAATGAGCGAAGTGGTGAATATAGTAAAGATCTGTGGAAAAGGATTAGTCTAATTAAATTCTGGAAATACCTCTGGCACCTATATAAGGTTAGAAGTTGCGTTCGGTATTGCATCATACATTACTAACTTCAGTAATAAGTGCCATGTTTAGGTATGGGCGTTAATATATCATGGTATAATATGCATGGTATAATAACCGTATAATTGGTATAGTATAATTATAATTATACCGTATAATTAGTATAATTGGTATAATATGCAGTATAACCTAAAAATTAGAAAATCAAATTAAAAATACCATCACAATAATAACAATAATAAAAAATATATTTCGAATATTAAGATGGTAAAAAAAAAGAGTAACGTATGGAAACATTAAACAATTCTTGCAAAAAATCTAACTGAAAATCAAGATAATCAAAATGAAGAGCAAATCGAAAACCAAGTTGAAAACCAGACTAAAACTCAAGCTAAAGATCAAATTGAAGATAATAAGCCGCATCCCCATGTAAAATGCAAATATTGCCCAAAAATCTTTGAATGAGGAATTGCTACTCGAATGCAAGCACATCTTGATACTACTTGTTCAGGAGCACCAAGCAATGCAAAATCAAAATCTAAAATACAAAGAAATATATCATCAACTATTAAAGCTAGTATATCTGTACTTAGTTCTAATGCTTCTCGTATTCAAAAATAGTTAAAAACTATATCTATTAGTAATTTTGCTGATAGTATGAGTGATAATGAACAAGAATTTCTTAAGTTTGAATTAGCACAAGCATTATTTACAACAGAAACATTATTTTCTTTTCTTGAAAATCTATATGTTATTAAATTTTTTTAGCATATTTGTCCTACATTTAAATTACCAAATCAAAAAAAACTTTCAAATGAATTGTTAAATAAGGTTTATAACAAAGTAAATATAGAATCTAATATACAAATTTTACAAGCACGAAGTTTATCTATGATTTCTGACAGTTGGTCTAATATTAATTAGGAATCTGTACAAAATTTTATTGTTTATATACCCAACCCTTTTTTTTTTGAGGCAATTTATTTAGGAGAAACATCACATACAGCAGAATAGATATCAAATCAAATAATTCAACAAATGGAAACAATTAATATTGAAAAATTTTCAGTAATTATTATAGATACAGCTAATATAATGAAGGCAGCATGGCGTATTATTGAAGAAAAATATCCTACAATAGTCTGTTTTGGATATGCATCTCATACACTAAATCTTTTAATTAAAGATATTCTAAAAATTAATAGTATAAAAACTGTAGTAGATAATGTGACAAATATTTTAAAAAATATCCACAAGCAATGGCAAAACTTAAATAAATTCAGCAAGATAATTACAATAAAGAAATTGCATTAGTTTTACCAGTATTAACGTGATGAGGTACACATCTTAAATGTCTTCAGTCACTTCAAAAAACAAGAATCGCTTTAGAACAAACTTTAATGGATTCAAGAATTCGTGAAACAATAGATTCAAGTTTAAGAATTTATATGCTATATGATGAATTTTGAAAAAACTTAAATTTAATTGCAAGTATTTTAAAACCAATAGTCGCTATATTAAAATTATTTGAATCAGATAGATCTACACTTTCATCAATCTATTCTAATTTTAAAAAAATGATGAATTCAATTCAAGAAATTTCCTGTAATTTTTCTAATGAGATTTAAGTATTTATAGAGGAGCAGTGGAATTATATTTACTATATTATTATGATGGTTGCATATATGCTTGACCCACGATTTTTGGAAGAAAGTAGAATTTGTAACATAGAGCCTATAGGGTATAATGCATTTACAACATATACAAATCAAAAATTTGAACAAGAAAAATTGGTAGAGTTATTCATTGAAATAGTTAAATTTTGAAACAAAAGTTCTCCATATGATGATAATATTATTTGGGAATCAGCTACTAAACTTACTCCAGCAATATGGTGGGAATCTTGGCCAAATAGTAGTCTTAAACAGCTTGCAATAAAAATTCTCTCAATTCCAACATTATCTGCTGCAGCTGAATGGAATTTTTCTACTTTTGGTTTTATTTACAACAAACTTCGTAATCACTTACATAATAGTCAAGTCAAAAATTAGTTTATATATATGGAAATCTACAAGTACATAATTTTTCTAAAAAGTTGCAGCATAACAGGATTGAAACTATAATTAATCACAATAATGAAACTAATCAAGAAATTACCAGTAATTGTGAAGAAATAGATAATGAAGATGAAGAAGTAGAGAATATGATTTATGAGAAAGGAATTGGTAAAGGAATTAAAAAAATGATCGAACAAATTTATTCACCTGATATCAATATTGATAATAATAATTCATTAACGTTAAATTTAGATGATAATGACAATATATTATGGAATCAAGATACAAGAAATTAATGGTGTAATGATTTTATAATAATACTATATTGATAAAATAGAGGATAGCGAGTTTTATAAATGCAATAGGTATTGGTATAGTAAAATTTTCAAATTGTTATAAATAACAATAACGATAATTCTCATATCTTCTTTTGATATATTTACATTACTGCATTAATATGAAATAAAGTTGCATGATACTGGTAGATGTGGCTAAATATTCTGGTTTAGTCTTGAATTGTCATACTGTATATATTTATAATATGTAATAAATTTGATACCAATTATTGAAATTCGATAACGATTATAAATTAATCACATGATTTACTTAATACTAATTATACCTATATATGGTTATTATACGGTATAATAACCTGGTATTTATACCAAATTATATTATATCGTATAATGCCTATCCCTATTTACATTCATTTCTATCATTAATTTACATTTATTGCTTACTAAGAATGTAATGCAAAAAAAGACGTATAATTAATTACTTTTATTATATAATGTTATCACAAAAGTCGAACACGAGGTCAGGGTACTATGGAATTCACTGTTACCATGTAATTTTACGTAATTAAAAATTATTTTTATAAAGTTAAATATCAAATTTTTCTTTTAAAATAATTGTTACATATTCTTTTATTATATTAAAACCCAACCAAATTATGATACACTTTCATGGTTTTTAAATAAAATAGGAAATGGTAAAAAAAAGAAATAATGATATCTTATACTGTAAAAGAGAAATTATTTCATATTTACAAAACATCATGAAATAGCGATATCATACATACAACTTTGAATATAAAGTAATAAATGTAATAAAAAATTTTTGTCTTACATCTTAAAAAGTATAAATAAACCAAGATCTAATAAAAAATATTATTTCCCATTTACAAAGTATTTACTTTAGATAAATTAAATAAATGATTAAAATACTTCATCTAGATGTTTCACAAAACCTATCAAATGAAAATCTAGGCTTTAAATATAGGTTTTTAATATCTTTAAATTAGTTAAAGTTGGAGTTATCAAAGAATTGAACGTTAAATTTGATAAACGTAAATGTGACGCTCAAGTTTGTCCTATTAAAGAGGTCATCTAAAGCCAGGTAGTTTTTTAAATTGATTACTAACAAATTTGTAAATTAAAAATCACGTGATGTGTATAGACAACTACTACCTGGCTTTAGACGATCCCCAACTTTGACATAATTCCAATGGGCAAATTTATCTCTTTATGAAACGCTAGTACCCAACAGAGCTTAATATGACGAATAAGGCATCTTTAAAATAATTTGAACAAAACCCCTAATCAAAATATAAGAAATAATTTGTCTTTATATATATTTATTTTTTTTTGTGCTAGCTAAGCGTTTTTATCAAAGTGCTTCGTTGCTAATTAAAATAGATTTTTAAGGTATAGTAAAGGTTAACCAGGGTAGTGAATAGACAATAGACAGTCTAATGGTCTAATGATGTCTAATCGAATCATTAGACAATAGATAAATAATATAGTAATAATGATTCTATTTTGTGATTTATCCTAAATGATACTACAATGTTAACATATTTAAAATTAAGATTTCACTTGATTACATGTCTAGTTTGTTTGATACGTTTAGTCTATATGAAAATTTATAATGAATGTTCTTGCCAACCAACAAATCTTAACAAAAAACATAAAAAAGATCTAAATATAAGCTTTTATAATAAATATATTATATGAGTAAGTGCTAATAAAAAAAAGTTCAATAAATAAGAATTTATTAACTAGACTAAAGAAAATTTTAATTCAAATTATAATTCTAAGCAACAATGTTTTTATTATGATAATATTTTCAAAACTGCCACTGGTCGAAATAAAGCATATCAGACAAGTATCATAGCTTTTTTAGTCCTAATATGGCACTGATTAATGACTCGAATCGTGTTATTTCTAGATTTATATCGGAACTGGCAGAGCTATCAATAAAATTATAAAAGCTACCAGGTTTCTGATATTTAACCAATAGCTTTATTAGCTTCGATATGAACTTGGAAATGACACGATTTGAGCCATTAATCAGTGTCATATCAGGACTAAAAAGTTATGATATTTTCTCGATAGGCTTTATTTCGACTATGTGCATTAAAAATTACAGTCAGACCTTCCTAAATGCATGTCGCCAGGATCATCTATAGAGCGTGCATTTAGAGAAAGCTGCAATTAGAAAACACTAATAAAATCGCAATGTTACTGTTAGCGCATGATAATGTGGCTTTAGTTGCCTTGAAATAATGAATTTGATTGGCTTGTAATCACGTGAATGCATTTATGGAGGGAGTTTTTATAAGTGGGCCAGGCGGTTAGCATGCATTTACAGAATAAAGAACGTGTATTTATCTACAGTCAGACCTCTCTAAGTGCATCCTCTATAAGTGCATACTCTCTTTAAATGTACACTTAAGTGCTAGCCAAGTATATACTTGACCTCCATAAATGCACCTTTTTTTATTATTCTCTATATACATGTTATTAAAGTGTGGTCCCAAGGGCATGCACTTAGAGAGGTCTGACTGTATAAGTCCTGCCATGGGCCCAGGCTTATATCATGCATTTAGAGGGGTGCTGCATTTAGGAAGAGTGCATTTAGAGGGGTCTGACTGTATAATTAAATATCATAGTAAAATCTATAAAACTATTTGTTATTTTATGTAATATAAATTATAATGAATTTTTAAAATATAAAAAAAGAAAATCATAGCGAATTAGATAAAAATATTGAAATAGTTGATCTAATAAATAAGAGACCTTTAGCTTGTTCATCTATAGCAATTATTTTAAAAATGCCTAGTTTGTCTGAAGTAACTACTGTTGAATTTGCAATATCCAACTTATCTGAAGTGCAAACTAAAACAGTAATATCACATACATTATCTTTGTCATTAGTAAGATATGCAAATTATTACATTATCGAAATCAGAAACTGGTTTCTTTATTTATTTTCTCACCTTTATAATATATTCAATTATATTATTTAAGCTATTTCTCTCAAACTTTCTTATACTTCTTAAACTATATTATACTTTTTATTTTAATTAATTGCTAATCACGCTATATTGATACATTTGACTTCTCCAGGACTATTATGATTTGGAATTATAAATCAATTAAACCAATAGACAAATTATAAGTAGACATATTGCCTAATTAAATTTTTATTTAAATAGACATTGTTTATTCTCAGTCAAATTGAATAGATATTTGACAATTGGAGAATACCATTTTTGATTAGACTATATCTATTCATAACTCTGAGTTAATGTAACTATAATAATAAATAAATATGATATAGTGAGTATCAATATACAATTTACATATGAAATTAGAAAAAAAATAATAATACAATTATGATAATTTATTATCAATCAATAAAATTGTTATTAATTAGAATATGAAGTAAATTTAAAGTTATGTACTATACAGCGTGAACCATCGTACCCCCCTTAAAAAAATTCACAGTAGAATATAAAGTACCTGGGTATTTTAAAAGAAAAGTAGATTTGTGGTTTGTAAAATACCTGGCTATTTGCTATGTAAAATACTTGGTATACCAACTATGCATAATATCTAGTATTATTGTTATATTTAGTAAATAATAGATATAAATATTATATATTCTTGATTTTTACTAAAACACACCTATATTATTTCAAAAATCAGCCAATTAATCAGTTCAAGATGTTCTAAGTAAAAATGCTCTATAAATCTAAAAATCCTTTCCAAATACTAACTTTAACCCTAAATCCTAACATCATCATGTCAAAAATTTTTATATTTGAAACTTAGAAAAATCTAAAAAGCATAATTAAACATATGATACCACATAGTTGATTAAAAGCAAAGTTTTTTATTTAACAACTTTTTATATCAAGCCATACAGTATGTATGTACAAATAAGCTTTATACTCAAATTGAACTAATCAAATATTGAAAATATAATATAATATCATTCTAAATCACTATTCTCTTCGTTAGTTTTATCTAAATTTATATTTTCAAGATTATTATCGATAATGTTGATTTCTTGAGATTCTACTAAACAGTTAACATATTCATTCTCATTAGCATAATATTTGTTTTTCTCATCTTTTGAAGCTTCATATGTATTATCCATTTCTATATCTTCATCCAATTCTATAACTTCATCTAATTTAGTAGCTTCATCTAATGCTATAATTTCATTTTCCTCTAATCCTAATCAGTCTGCTTTTTCTAATTGTTCTACTTTATTATAATCAAATAAAAGATCATCTTCAGAGCTATCTGTTTTAATAGAAATACCACAATGTTGAAATGATCTTTTAATAAGCTCTGAATCTACATTTTCCCAAGCTTCTTTTACCCATTCTGCAACTAATACATATGAAGGTCATTTAAGTTTCCCAGCTTTAGTAAGCTCATATACTGTATTTGCCATCCAATCTGTATATAATACTTGATACTACAATAAATAATAAATTACTATTACCAGTATTAGCTACTATTACCAATATTAAATAATATAAATAAATTTTATCTTTGCTTTAAAACTATGATTGATAGATATATCAAGAGATTGTAACCTTGAAGTCAATCCATCTGGAATTACACCAATATTTGTATTCTTTTCTTTAAATCTATTTTTAACAGAATCAACTATATGTCCTTTAAACGTATTATAAATTAGCAAAGGTCAAGGATTTCTAGTTGAATTTCACTTTTTCTAAATTTCTTCAATTCACCAAAGCATCTCATCTTTATTGCACCAACCTTTTTCATTATTATGCATATAAACACCCACAGGAAATATTTCTTGTTTTAGGTAGTTCTTTAGTTTGAAAATTATAACAGCTGATAATTTATCTTTATTAGCTATACATGCTAAAATAACAGTAAAGTTTGCTTATTCATAACCAGTAGTATAAATTCTCATAGTTTTTGATCCAGTTTTTTCTAAACTAGTATTATAGGGAATATCAAATGAAAGTGGAGTTTCGTCCATGTTTCCTATATACTTTAGGGGATATTGATGCTGATTACGTTGGTATAGTATATAGCTTAAAAAATTTTGCTGTTTTTCAGCTAGATCATTAGGAAGATATTGAGAAACAG